TACTTCATCAACTAACTTTTTTTTATAGATTCCTTGCCACTGGTGGCACCTTCTATACCATTGGGCATAGCTTTCGAGTTGGCTTTACAACAGTGAGTGCAATCGTAACCGAAGTCTGTGAAGCGATATGCAGACATATGGAGCATATATATTTACCAGAGCCAACAGAGAATATATGGAAAAAATGTGCTGAAGAATTTGAAAATAGATGGGGATTTCCCAATTGCATTGGCAGCGTGGACGGTAAACATGTAACAATCAAGAGACCTAACAACAGTGGCTCCAATTACCGGTGCTATTTACATAAATATTCAATAGTACTTATGGCCATTGTTGGCCCGGACTATAAATTTATATGTGTTGATACTGGTGGTTTCGGAAAAAATAGTGATGGGGGTATTTTCGAAACCTCAGACATGGGAAAACGATTTGAACAAAATTTAATGAGTGTCCCTGCACCTAGATTTCTCCCTGGGCAAAATGAAATCTGCTCGTACGTCTTAATTGGTGATGAAGCATTTGCTGTAAAACCATACCTTATGAGACCATTTCCTTATAAGCAGACTTTAACAGACGTCAGAAAAGAGAAATACAATGTAAGACTTTGTCGAGCTAGAAGGGTCGTGGAAAATGCGTTTGGTATTTTGTCTCAAAAATGGCGAATATTTTACAGGCCATTAGAAACTAAAGTAGATACTACTATTCTAATTGTACGTACGGCATGTGTTTTACACAATTTTTTACGAAGTAAAAGTGGCGATGACAAATATTTTCAGTTCTTAGATCCCCCAGAACCCGTGCTTGGAGCTTTTACTGATATAGCAAATGATGCTCGGCGGGCAGCAAGGCTAGCATTTTCTACTCATGGCAAATTCGTAAATTATTTTAATTCTGATATGCCTATGCCCAATATATAGAATGTTCGTTTTCACATTTGTGTAGAATGTAAATTATTTAACAAGTTAATAAAAAATATTAGGTACATACCATTTGTATTTAATTCTTTTCCTATTTCCATCCAAATCTTGTCTTTCTTTCTCACATTCCTGTATTCATCGTTCGACAAATAATACAAACAAGGATACTTTTTCACTATTTGTATCAATAATTCCGTTTTTGCCATTGCGAATTTTTGAAGAACGGCGTCAAAAACGCGGTCAAAGGCGAAAGCATCCCACAAACCGGCGCGAAATATTCGCTTTGGCTGCGAAAATTTCGCGGCGATGAATTCGCGATCAGATTAAAACGCGGCGGTTTACGGACAGGCTCAGACTTGTGCGAAGCGAATGCGATTGTTCCAGCGTTTTTATCGCGGCGTATTTCAGTTCGCCTTTGACCGCGTTTTTGACGCCGTTCTTCAAAAATTCGCAATGGCAAAAACGGAATTATTGATAGAAATAGTGAAAGAGTATCCTTGTTTGTATGATTTGTCGAACGATGAATACAGGAATGTGAGAAAGAAAGACAAGATTTGGATGGAAATAGGAAAAGAATTAAATACAAATGGTATGTACCTAATATTTTTTATTAACTTGTTAAATAATTTACAGTCTACACAAATGTGAAAACGAACATTCTATATATTGGGCATAGGCATGTCAGAATTAAAATAATTTACGAATTTGTCACGAGTAGAAAATGCTAGCCTTGCTGCCCGCCGAGGATCATTTGCTATATCAGTAAAAGCTCCAAGCACGGGTTCTGGGGATCTAAGAATTGAAAATATTTGTCATCGCCACTTTTACTTCGTAAAAAATTGTGTAAAACACATGCCGTACGTACAACTAGAATAGTAGTATCTACTTTAGTTTCTAATGGCCTGTAAAAAATTCGCCATTTTTGAGACAAAATACCAAACGCATTTTCCACGACTCTTCTAGCTCGACAAAGTCTTACATTGTATTTCTCTTTTCTCACGTCTGTTAAAGTCTGCTTATAAGGAAATGGTCTCATAAGGTATGGTTTTAAAGCAAATGCTTCATCACCAATTAAGACGTACGAGCAGATTTCATTTTGCCCAGGGAGAAATCTAGGTGCAGGGACACTCATTAAATTTTGTTCAAATCGTTTTCCCATGTTTGAGGTTTCGAAAATACCCCCATCACTATTTTTTCCGAAACCACCAATATCAACACATATAAGTTTATAGTCCGGGCCAACAATGGCCATAAGTACTATTGAATATTTATGTAAATAGCACCAGTAATTGGAGCCACTGTTGTTAGGTCTCTTGATTGTTACATGTTTACCGTCCACGCTGCCAATGCAATTGGGAAATCCCCATCTATTTTCAAATTCTTCAGCACATTTTTTCCATATATTCTCTGTTGGTTCTGGTAAATATATATGCTCCATATGTCTGCATATCGCTTCACAGACTTCGGTTACGATTGCACTCACTGTTGTAAAGCCAACTCGAAAGCTATGCCCAATGGTATAGAAGGTGTCACCAGTGGCAAGGAATCTATAAAAAAAATCGTTTTTAGGTGATGAAGTAAAAAAAAGGTGGAAGAATATCAGAGACACATTTGCAAAATATATAAAATCTACCAAACCAAAGACCGGCCAAGCAGTGGGCAACATAAAAAAATGGCAGTGGGCTGACTACATGGAATTTTTCCGTCCTTTTTTGGCATTTGCCAAAACGTCGTCTAATGTGAAAGATATTGACGTCATACATTATGAGACTGCCGAATTTAACTCAAATATATATCAGGAAAGGGCTGGAAATGTAGAAACCGAAAATTTGGAAGACCTCGGCCATGGAGAAGATGAAAATGCTGATGTAGATGCAGAAGATGCACAGAACGCCTCGGCAACACAGACAGCACCACCTTCTTCATTGAACACTACAGCAGTGACTACTCCAGGGCACACCTTTCCGCAGACTGCAACTACACCAAAATATAAAACGAGCAGAAAACGCTATGAACCACCATCTTCGTCTGTACAACAGCTCATTAATTATTTTGAAGGTAAAAAACCTAAAAAAGAGAACGAGGCCATTGATTCACTTTTCTTGGCACATGCACAGACTGTGAAAACACTTCCCTTAAAGCTTCAAGCCCGAATAAAACTAAAAATAGCCGAATTAATAGCGCACGAAGAATTTGAACATATTGAAGGAATGTCTTCAGCGTCTACCCAGAATTCTGCAAGTATGTATGATAGTAGTATGTCGTCCTTCCCAAGCGGCACTGGGTTTACTCCAATAATATACCCAACAGAGGAGGCAAATTCTGCCTCGAATTATTTAGCAACATTTAATCCTAGTGGCAACATGTAGTCCAATTATTACAATAAAATATTTATTTCACGATCCCTGAAGTTTTCGTATTCGATAAGCCTACTAATTTTAATACATATAATTTTTTTACCTGAGTGTAATAGCAAGTCGTTCTTCTGGCGAAATAGCTTCACGATAATTTGTGTCAGATTTTCGTATTTCATCTTTCACCAAGTTCAATATTTCATCGTAACACTCTGGAGTCATTCTAAAATATACGTAAAAGCGCTGTTCATCCAGCCGAAGTTGTGGCATCAAGGTATGGTATTCCCCAAATTTATTTCGTTCCAAGTTAATATCATGTACCCACTTCCTTCGTTTCCTAAACAAAATTGAAAATATTTGTTTTATGTACTTCGTTAAACTTAATACATACCCAACTATCAAATGGCGTTAAATAAACATAACTTACCGTGCATTTTGTTCCTCTTCTAAAGCAAGAAATAGAAGTGCCTCCTCTTCTTCTGAAGACGAGCTCATTGCAAAAGGCAAAAATAAAATGTACGCAACCTGTCGAAACCTTCACGTTCGCGGAGCGAATAAGACGCTTTGGTATGAATAAACAGGCGAAACAGATTGCGAATTTCGCTCTGAATTTCGTTGCGAATACTTCGCCGCGATTATTTCGCGCCGGTTTGTGGGATGCTTAACTGTCCGTAAACCGCCGCGTTTTAATCTGATCGCGAATTCATCGCCGCGAAATTTTCGCAGCCAAAGCGAATATTTCGCGCCGGTTTGTGGGATGCTTTAATCTTCATCAGAGGTAACATGAACGCGCAGCGTTATATCCACGAAGTTGTAGAACCCCATCTTTCACCCTATCTTGACACCCTGGCAGATCCAACTTTCCAACAAGATAATGCCCGACCACATGTTGCAAGAGTCACAATAGACTTCTTTCAACATAATGATGTCACATTGTTACCATGGCCACCAAGATCTCCCGACTTATCCCCAATTGAGCACGTGTGGGATATGATGGGTAGGAGATTGCTCAATTTGCAACGTCCTCCTCAGACTCTAGAAGCACTTCGAGAGGAGTTGGTGGTTGCCTGGAATGAGATCCCACAGGAGGACATTGACCACCTGATCTGAAGCATGCCTAGGCGCGTTGGAGAATGCGTAGCTCATCAGGGTGCATCCACACATTATAAAAGGTCAAAGGGCTTTAAAGCAGTGCAATCATTTTGAAATTTTTATCATTTACTTATTATGCTTCATTAAGTACTTATACAAAATTTTATTAAAATAAAACCATTTAAACTGGGTGTTCGGATTTATATGTCACTTAGTATATATATAAAGTCATAAAGTCATAAAAGTCCCATCACTGATTTATCGAAAAAAAATTTAAAAGACAAAGGATATCGAGTAATAGCTTGTTTGAGAGGTATTTCAAAGTACTTTTCACGTTTGATTTTTCAAAATCGATCGATTCGTTTTGAAGAGAATCAGAAAAATCTTTTTTATCTTAATTTGTTCAGTACATAACATCCACAAAATGCATCTTTCGGTCCGTCTGTGCGTTTGTCGGTCTGATCGCTAATTCTACGAGGGATGTCTTTTAAGTTTGGCATATAGAAATATAGTAGGCCGCGCGGATCCAACGTCAGTACTGAATCTCAACCTCACCCTTTAGTAAACTTAAATTCAAAGTTTGACAACAATGTTCTCACTACAGTGAATTTTTAAGTGTCACCAAGTCATTAGAAAAATGGAACTCAACCGAGAACATTTTCGCGCCATAATGTATTACAACTTTCAGAGACAATTATCGCAACAAGAATGCCTTGCTGAGTTACTGTCTGTTTTCGGCAACGAAGCGCCTCATCAGTTGACAATTTCCCCTTGGTATTGAGAATTCAAATGTGGACGGGTGAGTCTCAGCGATGATCCCAGGGTGGGTGCACAAGAAACGGCTGTCACCCAGGAAAACGTCGATGCTGAGCGCAAACTCATCATTGAAGATAAACATGTGACATATCGCGAGATTGAAAGGAAAAAGGAAAGGATCTCAAAGACCTCAATTCAAAAAATTTTAGATGAAGAATTACGAGTAAGAAAATTAGTTTCTTGTTGGATACCCCACCTGTTGACTGAAGAGCAGAAAACAGTCAGGGTTAGTTGGTGTCAAAAAACGCTTGACCGTTTCAATTCCGGAAACTCATAAAATGTGTACAGCATTGTTAGTGGTGATGAATCGGGGATGTACTGTTATGAACCAGAAAATAAACGACAGTCGGCTGTTTGGGTGTTCCAAGGTGAAGAAAAGCCAACAAAAGTCATCCGTTCTCGAAGTGTTTCGAAAAAGATGGTCGCGACATTTGTGTCAAAAGCGAGTCATATTGCAACATTTCCTCATACTGAGCAAAGAACTGTTACTGCGGATTGGTATACCAGCATTTGTTTGCCAAAAGTAATCACCGAGCTTCGAAAAAACAACCCCGAAAGAAGAATCATCCTCCACCAAGATAATGCAAGCTCGCACACAGCCCAAAAAACAAGGCAGTATTTAACGGAACAAAACTTGGAATTATTGGACCATCCTCCATATAGTCCCGATCTAAATCCTAACGATATCATTACTTTCCCGAAAATTAAAAACAGACTGCGTAGTCAAAGGTTCCAGTCACCAGAAGAAGCAGTTCTAACGGTTTTTTTACTTTACCGAAAATTGAAAACAGACTGCATATGCAAAACTTAAAAGACATCCCTCGTATAACCGCTTATAACTTGAAAAGTACCTCTCGGATTATGATGAAGTTTTCACAACAAGGATGAAAAAACTTTGTAGTTTTTGAAAATCGGTCGAATTGTGATGGAGCTAGCAGCAAAAATTTCGACGTTTCCCACACGTTTTTGGAAGTGGTTGAAAATTGGGGGTTGGGGTTTGCAGGGGGTAGGCGTTGTAATTGTAACGATTGTAATATTAGTTAAAGACGTTCTATCATTAAGAAGCTTCTGATCCTGGTAACAACAAGTAACTTGAATGACAACAACAAGCTCCAATTGGTCAGCAGGGGAATTGTCACTGACTCACCGCTACAGGAGAATTATTCATATATTTTAGCAATACTTGGATATCAGGAGTACGTACCACATTAGCGTTCTGCGAGGCTTTTGTAAATGTTGACTTAGCTGTTTTTATATCTACAAATATATTTTTCTGAATTTTGTGATCCTTGAATGTACCACCCATTTCGCGGAAATAAGATCGCTATAGTATGTTAGAGATTCCTGCTCATTTTCAGACATCGATTGGAGCGGATGAAAGTTGTAGGCCCGAAGCTGTATGCAGTAAACGGTTGCAAATTGTTGCATATTTTATGTCAGTGAAAGACCTTCTATTTTATTAACAAGCTCAGTGATATTACGCACCTGTTAAACACAATTTTTAGATTTGCCTTATATTTGATATACACAGGTGGAAAATTCATCATACATAATCACTATCCGATTTCGCCTTTTGAAACCTCATTTCCTTTGGGATCTCCATCGAAGGCGTAGGAAGTGTAGAGTCAATCTACTTGACGTCCTTTTGCTTTCAATGATTGCATACAGAGTATAACTACAACCTTCCTTAGTATAAAAGTAGATAAAGTTAAGAATACACAACATACAAGCAGTAAATCTCTCCACTCCTCTTGATCGCATTGTATCTCATTTATTAAAGATAATACAATTATTTTAATCTCTCAAATCATGAATGCAAGGAGGGGCCAAGTATACGTGGTACGTCACACTAACACCCTTCGCGTCATTAATATTAAAAAAGATATCGAGTAATGAGATGCGGATGGTATTGTTTTTATTGAAATTACTTATTCTGGTATATCAAGAATTTATTCGGGCATTGTGTTTATGCGGGGCCTCCTTGAATTAAGCAGCACAGGTATTTCGATTTGAATACGAGCCAGGCGACAGGAACAATGTTTTCCTTGTCTACGTTTATTGTTTTAGTGTTTAGCACGTCATGTCGTGTGTTTGATATGCGTTTGACAGGTTACGGTGTCTGTTGGTATCCTTTCACGACACTACTAGTACGTAGGAAGAATCTTTGAACATAACGACAAAGACTTAGAAGCCTCAAAACAATGCGTGAAATACGTTGTAGACAAATAGATTTATTTAAACAAATATTTTTGGCACAGCAATATCAGCTTAGTAACAATTAAACAAAAATGCTAAAATAAATATACTAAGTGATATACAAAATGCAACATCCAGAATTATTTATTTTTTTCAACGGCTTTTTTTGTCATATCATTGGAATTATACTAAGTGACATATAAATCCGAACACCCAGTTTAAATGGTTTTATTTTAATAAAAGTTGGTGAATGTATTTATCTTACTGTAACTAATAAGTGAAAAAATTTTCAGCCTTATCAGTTGGTTTTTATACTGCTTTTTCTTAATTCATTAACTCTCTAAAAATGAATATTTCAGCCGCTGTAAAGAATCAACGTTGGCGGATTTTGGTTCTTGACATCCTTTACGATCGGTTACGATGCCTAGGGTACGGAGACCTGTACGATTTCGTCAACTTAGTGAGTTTGATAGGGGCCGTATAGTGGGACTTCGGGAAGCTGGACTTTCTTTTCGGGCAATTGCAGTAAGAGTGCAAAGGAGTGTAGACACTGTGGTTAGGTGTTGTCAGGCAAGGCTTCGAGAAGGCCGTACGCAAAGAGCAAGGGGCACTGGACGCCGCCGTAGAACAACAGACCATGAAGATCGCCGCCTAAGATTATTGGCCTTAAGGGACCGTTTCTCCACTACCAGGTCCATTGCAAATGAATGGTTTGCTGAACACGGAAGACCTATTGGCATGCGAAATGTTTACCGACGAATGAGAAGTTTTGGCTTGTTTTCATACCGGCAAAACTGGGTCCTCCCTTTAACTCGAGAACACCGACGTAATTGCCTTGAGTGGTGCAGACAACGGTCCCTCTGGGATCAGGAATGGAACAGTATTGTCTTTAGTGACGAGTCTCGATTTTGTTTAGGCATGCACGATGGTCGTGCCAGGGTTAGAAGGCGACGTGGTGAAAGGAGGAATCCACAGTTTTTTGTTGAAAGACATGTTCATCACACTGTTGGAGTTATGGTTTGGGGTGCTGTAGCTTATGGTTCCAGGTCAGCTTTAATCTTCATCAGAGGTAACATGAACGCGCAGCGTTATATCCACGGAGTTCTAGAACCCCATCTTTTACCCTATCTTGACACCCTAACAGATCCAGTTTTCCAACAAGATAATGCCCGACCACATGTTGCAAGAGTCACAATAGACTTCTTTCAACATAATGATGTCACATTGTTACCATGGCCACCAAGATCTCCAGACTTATCCCCAATTGAGCACGTGTGGCATATGATGGGTAGGAGATTGCTCAATTTGCAACGTCCTCATCAGACTCTAGAAGCACTTCGAGAGGAGTTGGTGGTTGCCTGGAATGAGATACCACAGGAGGACATTGACCACCTGATCAGAAGCATGCCTAGGCGCGTTGGAGAATGCGTAGCACATCAGGGTGCATCCACACATTATTAAAGGTCAAAGGGCTTTAAAGCAGTGCAATCATTTGGAAATTTTTATCATTTACTTATTATGCTTCATTAAGTACTTATATAAAATTTTATTAAAATAAAACCATTTAAATGGGTGTTCGGATTTATATGTCACTTAGTATATATTTCTATAATTCAAGTACAATAAAAATGAAGTTTAAGTGCGCATATTTTTTTTAGTTGGAATATTAAAAAAGTATTCATATTTAAATGAATGCAAGTATTCAAAACAGCGATACTCGAACACTTTTTAATTTGTATTCGCATCCTGAGTGTTCGAAATCAATTCAAAATACAGTGTTCATGTATTCGTATTTGAATATTCAGTATTCGACCAAAGTCTGAGAGGTGGTAGCATCTTTTAAGGGATCTGCCGCTAAACAAAGATGTTTTTTGGCAACATTTTCACCCTTCCCTATCGAAATTCGTGATGAGGACTACCCCGTACCCAAAATTGTTGTAATAATCGGTACAAATTCTACCTGCTACCGGCTATCTAACATTTACCACCTCGAAGTATACCCGCGGCCTTACTACACCAAATCCGACATATCCATGATTATAATTCACCCAGATTTCACCCAAGTAAAGAAGAATTACTATTTGTACTACACATGTTTCCAAACATGACAATTGGAACAATTATTTAGACTGCACTACCTTAACGGGAGCGCTTGTTTTCGTTGGTAACTACATAAGCGCATAGAATTCTAGTACCAATCAGGTCAAGAAGTAATCGTGAACAGCTCACGAATTTTTCAAAATGCTAATAGACTGACATGTCAGGTCCGTGCTTGGAACTATCACAATGAGGTTTATTATTATGCAAGACAAATATACCAATATGTGCAGCATCATTCCGTAGGTAAGTTGCAGACAGAAATATCAATGCAAGTCCTGAAGCTCAGCCTGTAATAATCGCTGATTTGTTTCTTTGACAGTTTAGTGAAAACAAAAGTAGAAAAAAAATAAGTACTGACGTTTCGGACACATCGGCGGCCTTTTTGAGTACAAAGAAGAGATCACAGTGTCTGACCTCATAGATTTCTCGATACGAGACACACTTACATAGCAAATGATGATCTTCTTCCCAGCATTTGGATAGGAGTACATTTTATATTCCAATGAGAGATACATGTATGTTATTAGTTTATTATAATATTGCATCTTATGAGATATCCATCATATTGGATTTGGTTTGACATTGCTTTACATATTGTGCTTGGCTCATCAATCCCTTTCATTACATGCATTAAGGATAATCATGGAAATGATGAATCGTCATTTTCCTGCAACCGCTACATTGAATTAAGAATGACTTCACTCCGATTATTGAGTCTCTCTCAGCGGACCCTTTTATTTGACATTCATGTCATAGGTGTGATTACGGAAATAGCAAATCGCCATTTTGTGGCTGTAGCCGTATTGGAGTCAGAATGATGTCACGTTGCCCATTGTGTTTCTCTCATCAAGCCTTCTTCACTTGATACGCAGATCATAGAGGTTACTATGAAGACGATGAATCGCCATTTTGTAACACGTACCATATTAGATTCAAAATGGCATATGCCATGAGAACCAAGCATTTTAGCTGGCTCAAAATACAGTTTCAAGATTTTTCCCACACCAAATGCCAACACACCTACTAGCAGGTCAAATTAAATCAAGTTAAACGAAAGCTCTTGTAAAAAACGTACGTCCGCTTTGTGTTGGTTAAACTACTCCCTCGTCTCCAAGAATTGGCTTCTAGGCCCAATACCTCCAAATTGGTTCGGGGCCAACGTAAGAGCCCATTACCTCTATCAGACTTGAGCCCAAAATTAAATGTTCCTGTCACTCTCTCCTTTGCTCTTTTGAAAAATAGCTAGACTCTTTAACTTGCGTTTGTTTTCTTTAACAGCAGATACCGTCTGAAACTTATGTAGTCAAGCAAACATCTGAAGGCTTCCCATCGTGATGACGTTTGACTGGACGTATCACAATACGAGATTTAAGAGGTTTTGTTGATACAGAAATCGTGCGCAGCTCCTTTGGTCCAGTAGTCTTGTACCAGATATTTATTTTTCATGAATAGGTACTTAGGCCGCCGTATTATGGCATCCGCTGTATAATGTGACCCGATGCCACAGCATATACAATACTCCACAGCAATGCTATTCACTAAATGCTAAGCGGAATTTTTGGAAAATTAACGCATGCAAGAACCTCAATTGGCGAAAAGTAAGTTGCTAGGGAGATAAGTGCATTGAGGTAAGACCCTTTTGAATAGGGGGTGCGAAGCGGTAAGGAGTCTTATAACAAAAATGAAAACAACTGGCCAAGGCGCAGGCTCCTCTTACCTTCATTCTGTCTTCAGCGAGGCTGGAGTTCTTGTGGCTAATACGGGACGACCACCAAGGCGTTCAGATGACCTCGTAGAGTATAGCGTTGTTAGTTGGCATTTAGATAGCGAGCACTGCGAACGGGCACTAGAGAGCTAGGAACATCGAAAATAGACATCGAAGACAAAAATCGAAGACATAAATCGTAGATAACATCGAAGGGAGATATTGAAGACAGACATCGAAGGGAAATATTGAAGACAGACATCGAAAAGAGTCATCGAAGACAGACATTGAAGGCAGACATCGAAGACAGGAATAGAAGTTAGTAATTGAGGACAGACATCAAAGACAGTCATCGGATGCAGACATTAAAGACAGACCTCGAAGACAGGCATTGAAGACGAATATCGAAGACAGACAACACGGACCGACATCGACAGACTTAGAAGACAGACGTCAAAGACAGACATGGAAGACAGGTGTCGAAGACAAACATCGCAGACAGGCATCAAGGACCGACAGCGAAGATAGAATTAAAAGATAGACAACAAAGGTAGAGATGGAACACAGACATAGAAGACAAACATCGAAGACAGACAACGAAGACAGACATCAAGGACCGGCATCGAAGACGGACTTAGAAGACTGGCATCAGAGACATACATCGGAGACATACGTCAAGGACTGACATCGAAGACAGACATCAAAGATAAACATGGAAGACAGGTGTCGAAGACAAACATCGCAGACAGGCATCAAGGACCGACAGCGAAGATAGAATTAAAAGATAGACAACAAAGGTAGAGGTGGAGCACAGGCATAGAAGACAAACATCGAAGACAGACAACAAAGACAGACATCAAGGACCGGCATCGAAAACAGACTTAGAAGACTGACATCAAAGACAGACATCGAAGACATAGTTTTTGAGCATCAGCTTCCAAGTTACCTTTTTGATAGCTCTGTTTCTGCGAGTCTGAAACAGATTACGCCACATGGAATGACGTACCTTCGGAGGGGTGAAGAGGCCATGCCTCGACACAAAACTTATCTCTCACAATCTTAGACTTGTTTTAATATTTTTGAACAGAAAGTGTCCTCAGTATATTTACCTTAAAGTTGAGTTATAGGCGATTTAGAACTCGAAAAATTTTCAAAATGCCTATTTTCAATGCTTAAAGGCTCCATTGTAGAGTGTTATTTTTGATGTTGCTAAGTAGCTGAATCAACGACCAAACCTTCATCTCATAGACCTCGAAACGAAATTTAAACTTCGACTATTTAAACATATTGTTATTTAAGTGTTAACAATTCGCTTTGGGCTTCGCACGCGTCGCTCTTTACTGGAGGGCACTAAAACGGACGAAAGTAGCATAACATAAAATATATGTAGGGTGTAACTCCCATCTGAAGTGCTTGTCCACCATGACAACAAGATATTTCACACAATCTAACTCATGGATATTTAAGTTAAATTATTGCCACCGAAATACTTGTTTTTAAAAAAAAAATATTTTGATTAACGGTACAAAAGGACTTTTGTGAAACCTTGTCACGACGATGCGTAAAACAGGACGGTTAGACAAGAAGTGACAAGATTTCATCACACATGGATTTTGTACAATGCAGTAGAAATATAATATGCTGATACAGAGGATGTTAACATGTGAACTTCAAGGCGCGAGGTAAGATTCCATAGCGTAGAGACAATGCTAGAAAGAAATACAAGGACCAGGTAATAATCATAATATTATATAAAATACAGGGTGATGATGGATATAACTTTTATATATGTACTGTTCCTAAATTGGGTTGACTATTAGTGTAAGATATAAATGTTTTATATTTTGTTTTATCACAATCTATTGTTAATATATCAAATCAATTTCCACAAACGCCTCATTTAGCCGGAATATGTGCGTTGATGTGTGTAGTAATATATCCTGTGTGGATGGCTCGCCGCGGGAGTACTTGTACCAGTTTTCAACGTATTCAATACAAAAGCAGTCACAATGACGTGCATTGAAAAGCAAGTATATTTTTGGATAATGAGCTTTTTGGAATCAGTCAGTCGTGCCAAGATGGATTTTGTTGTATGAATCAGGTGTTTCGTGTGCATGGTGAAATGATCTCCCGAAATGGTGTTGTTATTACGTTGGAAAATATTGTTATGCAGTAGCATATTGAGCACCACAAGGCATTGATGTGGCTGATGACCTTTGAGCTTCATATTCCTTGGTTTAAAAAACATGTGTTTTTGAAACACAATGTATCATTGATGAAAATATACTAAGTGACATATAAATCCGAACACCCAGTTTAAATGGTTTTATTTTAATAAAAGTTGGTGAATGTATTTATCTTACTGTAAATAACAAGTGAAAAAATTTTCAGCCTTATCAGTGGGACATTCCGTTTTTTTTTTAATTCACTAACGCTCTAAAAATGAATATTTCAGCCGCAGTAAAGAATCAACGTTGGCGGATTTTGGTTCTTGACATCCTTTACGATCGGTGACGATGCCTAGAGTACGCAGACCTGTACGATTTCGTCAACTTAGTGAGTTTGATAGGGGCCGTATAGTGGGACTTCGGGAAGCTGGACTTTCTTTTCGGGCAATTGCAGTTAGAGTGCAAAGAAGTGTAGACACTGTGGTTAG